AGTTGTAGGATGTAGATGAATATGAATACAGTATGTAATTGAGGATAAGTTTCTGTAATTGGATTTCAATAACAAAGATAATTGGAATGACAATCTCCAAGCATTCGAGAGGCTTAGATCTCTCCCCCTAACTCAACAACTAATCACTGAATGAATGAAAATCCAAGCTCCCCCCTTATTACCTTTATAGACAATCTGCTAGCTTTCTATTACCATTTTACCCTTTTGCTAACTAACTATGGAACACTCTAGAATAGTGAATGAATAACAAACTTGTATTGGAGGCGGGGGTCTATCATCTCCCTACCAAAATATCGCAATAACCCTCCTACATGTGATTCCTATGCTAAAAATTCTCTGAGTGGAGGATGAGAGAGACGCTCTTTAGTTCCTGTGAAAAGAGAACAAAGTGTCTTATTAGAAAGAATTGTGATTTCTAACAGCTATGGATAATATTAGGGTAAAATTCATGCTAGTATCATGTCATTTAACGGGTATGTGGAACTATGACTGGAGCATATTACACAACATTTTGTTTCTTATCTGTACTTTACTTTCTAGTACGATATTGAAACTTGATTCTAGCAACGTCCCATTTCAGATAAACCTAATAGAATTTGTCCACTAAGGCTACGTCTTCTCCCTACCAAAATATCACACTAACCCTCCTAACGTAATTCCTACAATAAGAATTCTCTAAGTGAAGGATGAGAGATACACTCTTCAGTTCCTGTTAAAAAGACAATCCTCCCAAAAAGTATGTGTAAACAACTAATTTATGAAATTCTTAAGATCATTAGGTATCCCAAAAGGATCATTACAGGTATCCCAAAAGGATAATGTAATGACTCTTATAAGTCATTCCTAGTCTAGAAGGCTTTTCCCATTTGTGTCCTGGTTGAATCCTAATTTTATGGTATCTATTATGCAAATCTCTTTTGGAGTTGAACCATATAGCTCATCCAACATATACTCGAAGATTAGGAAAAACCTATAGTATGCTCTGATTTTGTTGATGGCTCTAGTGTCCACACCCAATTTCCAAGATCTATCTTTCTTAGGAGGGAGTAAGATAGGCTTTGCACACAAGGCTATAGCCATTAGTTATAACTTAGAAGTCCTCTTAGTCTATTCAACTTGGCTCGCTTTATTGAACTCATCCAATAATGGAGAATGTTAGGCAATTATAATCCACCGATTAAGTCTATGGCAATAGCTATATATATCTCATCGCTGGTAACTCATGAAGAAATTCATCAGGTGTGGTAGTATCTCTAGATTCCTGTATTAAAGGTGTACAAGATGGGGGCCACATGCTGAATTCAAAAGAAGAAGAAAGAATTTTCTAGCAAAAGCAACAAATATAACACTAACTTAACTTGCTCAAAGTTATTATAAGATAGGTGTTGAATCTTATTTCTTAGTGAGTTCCTAGACATGGGCTTGGCTACAGGCTTGCTACTGAGGATTGAGGGTTTAACAGGTTTCATTACCAGCTTCTTACTTCTACAACGAAGACTATTGGTTCTTTGCGCTCAAAGTTTTTCAAATCATTAGTGACATCCATGAGTAACACATCACATTGTAAGTCCTCTCAACAAGTCTCAACTTTAGTGGAGCTATACATCTCTCTGCTGAAAAGAAGTTATATCTACCTAATCTACTTCGAAATAAGGATGGTGGAGCTCAAGTTGGAGACGAAATTTTAGCAATGTTAGATATCCACTTTAAGTTCAAAATAATACTTCCATCAATGTTTGAAAGATTTTACCTTGTGCAATTAGACATGAAAGATTGTTGTGCTGCCTCCATGCATTAGAGTTGGTGTGAAGAAACGTCTAATTACCGAGACTACTTTGTTGCCATCCCTATAACCATGAACATTATTTTCCTCGTCGTCAGAAATTTATAGAGTTCAAAAGGCAAAATGTTCATAATCTTCATTGATTGGAGTGTCAATGCCATCTTCTATATTATAAGAAATAAATTAATATCTACTTTCTATTTCTACGGTTAAAATAAGTGTTGGCATGTCTTCACTGAAATCTCCATCGTTTTCCCCTAGCTGACACAACTAGACTCCAGTGAGCTAAAATGTATATATTTATTCAAACAAACCTAGACGAAGGAGAACTATGTGCCTCTCGTTGGACAATCAGGATATTTTTCCTTTTTTTCCTGGAAATCCACATTCCTCTCCTTCTGGAGGCTCAAGGAGATAACATGTATGTTTTTTATTATAAATATTCTGTAAGAAAATCAATGGGCAAAATTTTCCTTTATTTATCTATCAATTCACCTATTTATTATGTTACTGCCTCAGATATTTCCTTCTCTTTTCTTTTCGATTGGGATTTTTTTGGAAACTGCCGAATAATATGTTTATGTAGCATGCATGCATCCTTTTTTTCCCCTTTTTTTCTGTTCTTTACATGGGAGGAAAATTTTTTTCCTTGTCCTCGTAAGGGTTATTAAGGGTCATATGGAACAAATGAGTCATATTTGTGATTGACTGCTCCAGTTTGTTTTGTATGGCTAATTTGACGAGGATGTCTAGGGTATTCCTGAACATCTTCTAGCTATTTTGCTGTGGCCTGAACAAGTTGGTGGGGCTAGATAGATGTGCTTGAGCCTGCACCATAGTTCAAATGACCTGAAAAGTATTTAACTTAAAAAAGTACCTTCTCGTTAATGGTCTGTTTTAAATATGTAGCATGCATGCATCCTTTTTTTCCCAGTTTATTCTTGTCTTTACATGGGAGGAAAATTTGTTTCCTTGTCCTCATAAGGGTTATTAAGACCGGACTTATGGAACAAATGAGTCATATTTGTGATTGACTGCTCCAGTTTGTTTTGTGTGGCTAATTTGACGAGGATGTATAGAGTATTCTTGAACATCTTCTAGCTATCTTGCTGTGGCCTGAACAAGTTGGTGGTGCTAGATAGATGTTCTTGAGCCTGCACCATAGTTCAAACGACCTGAAAAGTACTTAACTTAAAAAAGACTTTCTCGTTGATGGTCTGTTTTAAATATGACCGGTAGCTTTCATATTGTTTTAGTTTAGTTTAATGGTCTGTAGAGTATATTCACTATCATGCACTTCATGGTCAATTATTACTGGATAATATATATTGATGCTGATAGACAAATCTGTAGATTGACTTAAATGAGTCAATTATTAGGGATAAAAGCCTATTACTATTCTATAGATTAATAACATTCCTTCCATTAGGTAAGACTGTTTTTGTTGGAAGAATCTCCTTCACAAGTTGGAGTTGAAACTCAAGACCACCTCCAGGCAAAGACTTTACGGTCAGTCCAGACAGGCAGTATCTTGTCTGATGACAATTTACCACCTGGCTTTGAAGGGCTCCAGCGTGGAAATCTTTGGAGAAATAAGTTGTCCCAACTACCTCTTATCAAATGGAGATGCCCCTCCAGAGTGAGTATTTCTTATTGTTGTGTTTGTAAAGATAATTATGCTGAAGCACAAAAGTAATATAATTCAAAGACTTGAGATGTTAGGGGAAAGGGGTGGAGTTTCACTAAACAGAGACTAAACTCTTCACTTTACTGATAAAATGTACTCGGACTTGACTTTTTATGAATTGGTGCCTTTCGATTTAAATGACCCTCACTAAGCACATCTCTACAATATTCTTATATTTTTTGTTCTGCTGGAACGGCTTTGTTTTCAAGTTCAGAACTCTTTATGCAGTCCACAAATAGGGGAGGGTAGGGTAGGGTGGAGTGGAGTGGAGTGGGGGCGGCTGCTGGGTGGGATTCATCTTCCTTGTAGAGTTGAATTATAGCACATTATGTTCTTGCAATGTAAAGGGGCCATGCCTTATGATGCTTTTTCTCTGCATTTTGACTGTTTGTAGTTTGAAGTGGATGGTGTGTGGAGAGTGGTTGCTGGGGAGGAGAGTAAAGAAGTGGAAGCTCAAAATCATCGGGAGATGAGAGTACTTGAAGCAATTTATCCACGTCTGTCGTCTATTCCTCCAAAGTGTGATGCTTTCCTCTTTTAAGTTACCTTTTTCCTAATTTCATTTGGTGGTGGTTAGGCTTTAAGCTGAGTTTTTATTACGCAAGGCATACCTTTCTCTTAATGAAACATTTCCTTGTACCTTTGTGCAGCCCTTCGGTATCAGCGGGTATAGAAGACTCATCTCAGATAGATCACAATACCGTTCTGATTCCTATCACTCCCATTGAGGATGAGGATGCTGCACTAGAAGCTCCACTTGCCTTCATGGAGTCGAACACTGCCCCCATGGCCTCACAGCCCCAGATATTGACCAACGAAACTTCCTCCTCTTGGGTTAGTGGCAGTACTGATCCCCATGCCTACGAAATCCCAGAAACAAGTGGAGACCCTTGCGTGCAGCCTGATATTGTAGCTGCTGCACACGCTGCCTTGACAGCAGCAATGTCAAAAAACGATCAGGGAAATTTGATCGATCATAACTTGCTCATAAAAATTCTCAGCGATCCTAAAATGATCGAGCAACTTGTTACAAACCATGGCACAGCCTCCAGCACACAAAATGTACCTGCACCAAGCATTCCAAATGTGCCACCCACTGGTGTGCAAAATATTCCGTTTTCCAGTACACAAAATATGACATCAACCAGCACGCATAATTTTCCCTCTTCTAGCTCAATAAAATTGCCCAACCCATCTTCCAGTACTATCAATAGACGAGATCCACCATCTGCTCATGTTACCCGACCAGAACTCATTTCGTCTCCGGCTACATCAAGTCGAGCTTTCTTTCCTCCAAGTAGGATAGGACTGATTCCCAATAGCCGGCCATCAGCACCTGACATCATTTTTGCACCCCCTCCATCTGCAAGACCTCCCATAGCAAAGGACATCAACTATTATAAGAGCCTTATTCAACAACATGGAGCAGAAAGACAAGAGGGGTTACCCCAATTTGGTAATCAGCAATTAGGCACAATCCAAGAACATTTAAATGTAGCCAAATCTAGGGACCCAAAATTAAAGGTTATGAGACCTTGCATATATTTCAATAGTGCAAGGGGTTGCAGGAATGGAGCTAACTGTGCATATCTGCATGAGACATCGTCCCAGCCCCGAGTCAGTAGTGTTTCAGAAGTTCAAAATACAAAGAGAATGAAAATGGATGGAGAGATTACTGGTAGATAACACTGTCCTTATATTTTCTGAGAAGAATTCTCTTTAGTTCGGCATTTTATCTCTACATCTTATTTTATGTTTTGCAAAGAGAATAAATTCATATTTACTTATATTCTTATCTGGACTGTTTTATTTTGTTCGTGTATCATGATAATAGGTAGCATTTTTGCAGATTTTCTTTGACCTGCTTCATATAATTTAAAATGGGTTTGCGTTTTGTGCTCGTGGTGATCAAATAACCTTATGGGGATTTTGTTTTGTGAAAGGTGTGTTCCGATTTTCCTGTTGTGTTTATCTTATTGTTTCTTCAAAATCGTGACGGGGTGTTTGATATTTTGAACTGGATGGGATCGACGTAGTACTCACCCTCTACGCTTGAGATAGTAAGAGCACTAGTTTGTATCAGAAACTCGTTGAATGGACCTCGAGTGGAGGGAAAATATGGCATGCATGATTCCCAGTGGTCCACGACGAAGGCGTGCTACAACACAGTTGGAATCTTGATGAATATTTGTATTATAAATAGAGTATTTTGGTGTCAAGTGCAACAATATGGTAGTATTTACAATAGTAATTTTGTAGGCTCAAAATTTGATTTTACCCAACATTATGTTATCAAAATACTGGAGCAAATTATTCCAATAAAAATCATACCGTTTCAATTAATATTTTTTCAACGGAAGCTATACAAGATCACATGAAGAAATTTAAATATCTTCATGTTCGACTTATTCAAGTCAAATCTCTGTTTAGACTTGGTCTAGGCATTCTTGTTCTTTTAACCCTAAGAGACGAGAGTCTTAAGGTTTGAATATTCTTTACTTTCCATCTTTGAGTATAATCTCGAAAGTGGATCAGTATTTTCAAATTATTATCCAAACTTTTCAATTAGCCTTTAAGGTGGAGTTATTCTCAATGCTCTTAATCTTCAAGTTCAAACAAAGAATTTTAATGTTGATGATAGATCAAGAGTTTTTGCTTTGATATATCGAATATATTTTAAGTTTTTGAATACTCAACTCAATATTCGAACTCTCAGATATTCTCCAAGATATAAAAGTCTTCTGGTTGAAATTAATCTACTTCATTCAAACGTTATGATTCCCAAACGAATTCCATGGAAACCTCAAGCTAGAGGACTGCAATGAGGTTTTGAAAATGCTCAAAATTCAATTCCAACCCCTGTAAGATGAAATCCTGATCAACTTATTTCTTTTCCTGAGATGGAAATGTCAAAGTTATCTTTGATAAACCATAATCTTCAAATACTTTTCGAAGATCTTATTCATCTAGATCTGATTATAGATCTAAGAGTAATACTTTTCAATTTTCAAGATTTTCAACCTTTTCCTTGAAAGAATTCGATTTCAATCATAATATTCTAAAAACTTATTATCAAAAAGATAAGGAAAATGAACTAGAACAACCTGGTTCTCCTACTTTATTTGATATGGGACCTTCTTCGGAGAGGCTAGATCAGCAATGTAATGTTATTTC